GTCTGCGGCTGAATCTAACGAAGACAATGTCCATGAGAAACACTGAATCTAACGAAGACAATGTCCATGAGAAACACTGAATCTAACGAAGACGATGTTCATGAGAAACGGATTGGTTTCTGATGCCCCATTCACGCTCAACGGAACGACCATCTCTGAATGCTCTAGCTATGTGTACCTAGGTCGTGAAATCAATATGATGAATGACCTAGCTCCAGAGCTGAGCAGGAGGAAGCGAGCGGCTTGGGGAGCCTTCAAGAACATCGAGGGAGTAGCGAAGAAGACGAAGAACACCAAGCTCCGTGCCCACCTCTTCGATTCCGCGGTCCTTCCTGCCTTGACGTACGCCTCAGAGACTTGGACTCTACGAAAGCAGGATGAGCATGCGGTTGGCGTTATTCAACGCGCCATCGAAAGGGCGATGCTCGGAGTTTCCCGCTACACGCAAGTGAGAGAGGGAATCCGGAGCTCCGCACTCCGCCGACGATCGAAGATCAGAGACGCCGCCGCATTTGCCAAGGTTTCGAAGATCAGGTGGGCCGGCACGTCATGCGTTTCGAGGACGACCGCTGGACCAGAGCGATCACCGACTGGATTCCACGGGATGTCAAGCGAACGCCTGGACGACCGCCTATGCGATGGTCAGACTTCTTCGTGAAAGCTCTGAACGAATGGTATGAAGTTCATCGTCCCTCGAGCAGAGAGAGTTCATTGGGCAACTCTTGCACGTTGCAGGGACGAACGTTACTTTCGCCCGCTCGAGGATCCCGATAATCAACGGGAGCACAGGTTACAGATGATACCCACGCATATACAGGTCTAGTTGCGGTCTACATTCGAATGGCTCGATAATTCAAGTTTCCTTCTGCGCTTTGGTTAGCAAATACTTTTACGAGAGCTTGTTTTTAACTGTTTACTTGAAGGCCTCGTCTATCAAAACTGCAGCGAGTTTCTCACCATTGGTACCTATTACGGGATTAACTAAACTACTTCACTAAAGGAAAGGCGAATGAACAAGCTTACCTTGATCTTGTGGAGCTAGCTGCTTGCGCTCAGAGGATTCTTTCGCTGTTTGCATTTGCTCTGCAAAAAACATACCGCATAACAAGCAAAACTTTTTTTGATCGTCAACCTACAGGTCTAGTTGCGGTCTACATTGAAATGGCTCAGTAATTCAGGTTTTTCCTTCTGTGCTTTGGTTGAACACTTTTACCAAAGTTAGCTTTTAATTGTTCACTTGAACAGCTCGCCTATCAGAGCTGTAGGTTGACGATCAAAAAGAGTTTTGCTTGTTATGCGGTATGTTTTTTGCAGAGCAAATGCAAACAGCGAAAGAATCCTCTGAGCGCAAGCAGCTAGCTCCACAAGATCAAGGTAAGCCTGTTCATTCGCCTTTCTCTGTAGGAAG